TCCCACCCGTCCGCTTTAATCGCTCTCCGGCACTCGTAAAAAAGGAACTTCTTTTTATCAAACTGCCGACCCCTTGTAAAAGTAACAACATGCTGCGTCATATATTGCTACGTTGGTTTTTTTTTCAGAGCATAGCGCTCTAGCTGCAGAACTGGAGTTTCCCGCTCAGGCGCTGCGTAACGCTGAGTTCCAACGTCTAGATCCGATGTTCGGACGGGCTGGGAAGTTTCAGCAACAGCAGACACAGCAGTCATCAAGTCCATTGGGCGGCCCTCCAGGCAGTGAATTCCTCAACTCCGTGGAGGCTGTTATCCAGACTGTGGATTATCAAGAGGGCGAACCTGGTCTGCTCAACCCTAAGGCCTTGCGTGACCACATTGACTTGCTGATTAAAATCCATCGACTCGAGGTGACTGTCCACAAGTCGAAGTGGAAGTTGGAAGATCTATGCCGCCGAGCCGAGCTCCCTGCCTTGAGTGGAATGAGTCACATTCAAGTGAGTCTACTTACTGTACTGTGATTTGAGTGTACTTAGCCGTCTTCAAATGACTAACAATATTTAGGCGGTACCAGTTAATAACAAGTCTTCATACTCCGCTTGTTGCATTTGCTCATGTTATGTTATGCTCATGTTAACTTATATTATTTCACAAATATGCACAAATCGTTATTTTTTAACGTAATAAATCGACCTTTTGCGCAGAAGTGTTTCACACTTATCAGACTCCATTTAGGATGATCTCGGATCTCACACGAGAGTGTCATAATGGTCATCCTAGGGAGGAATTATTGCAGACTGGGCCTTATTCGTGAGTGAGTTAGCTCGTCAGACTGGTATTGTATTGCCGTAGATTTGAAAGCATCTGATTGAGTGCGCTAGCATTGGCCTCTCTCACCCTCCTCCCACGAACCATTTGGTTGTCTCAGCTTAGGAGCTGGCTGTCTGTGGGTTCAGGCGTCGTAGTTGACGAAGTCAAACAGTCCATCTACGCGGGCCACGCACAGTTTTGTCCCACATGCTTCTGATTTAAGCAAGAGATACGTGTTTTTGTACAATATTTTGCCTGCCGCACAGGCAATAGCAAAGCAAGTTGCCTATTTACAGCGGAAATAGCGCGTGCTATGTTTACTTACGTGTTGCCGACTAGGCCTGTGTGTGTGCGGCTAAGGCGAGGTTTTGTTGCGCGTCTGAACTGTGTTGTTTTTATTTATGGGCATATAGCCAAAAAGACTTGTGCTAGGCCTGAATGGTCTGGGCCGGTGTGGACAGTCTAGGTCGGCATAACGGTTTTGTGTTGGGGCTGTTGGCACTGATTCTCTAACCCCGTGTAATGGATTCGAGAGTGACCGGCCAGGCCGATGCGTGATTCGAAGGCGCAATTGCAATGGAGACAGATGGAAAGTGAGTTCATATTGCTTGTGCAAGAGGCAACATCAGTGGCTTTGTGCAAGATGGCAAGAATGTCCTCACTTGTGGTGGTGGCGGTGGTGGTGGTGTTTTCGGAGATGAGAGGTGGACTCGCTGTGTTGAAACTGCATTGAGTTCGACGATGTTCAGTGTAGCCGTTCCGTGCCTAGAGTACCTGCTATTAATAACAATATGGACACGAGTCGGGTGTAAGGGATGGTAAGGGTCGGGTGCTTACGGCTTTGGTCCGCAGCACTCGAGTTTTGCGATCTTGCCAACTATTATGTGGTTAGCTTCGAGTTTTTACGGCAGTGTACCACGTCTGCCGATCTTGAGCTAGGCTTTCTTTAGTCGTAGGATTAATTTGCAGGTGACTGAGAGTACCAACAATTTTGTCCGTCCGAGTTGTATTGCCTGGCTTTTGTACACAGTCCATTTCTTCGCCCCATAAAAGAGCGTTGTGAAAACAAGAGCCTTATACATCTTCAGTTGTGTGTTGAAGAGTGCCATTTCAGTTCCGGGGTGAGTGCTATAGCCAGTCGAAGATCTGATTGACTTTTTGAAATCTGACTTATAATTTGGTCGTTGATTCTGATGTTTGTCGAAACCGAACTCCAGGTACACAAAGTTATCCACTCATGTTGGGTAAAGTCCCTTGGCAGCGGTCCGGGGTCCGTGGTAATTATCATTTGGCCTGATTCCTTCTCTTTGCTGAATGTCAGTCTGACTTTGAGGCAGCCGCAGGCGAAATCTAACGCGCAGTCATCTGCCAATAAAAGGACCTGTGGTTCGTCTTGGAAATTCTCGAAGATCCTTGCCTGCGGTGAACGTCGAGCAGTCGCTCGTCGGTTCGATAATCGATACGGATCCCCAATTGCTCCTTACGGTATGCGTTCTTTAGTAAAGCGGAGAACATAAGACTGAATAGGGTGTCGTCTCAAATGCTTCAGAAACTGTCCTCCTGTTCGTAACGCGTGCCATCAGGTAGCTGTGTAGTTTTATTCGTGGCTTCTCCGTGTTTTGGAAATCTGCAATGTTTTTCAGCAAGAAGTTCATTTTCCGGGTTCAGGCGATTGGGTAAGACGCGGGAGGAGAGATCTCCTGCAATGTTGAGAAGGGACACGCCCCTGTTCTCATTACAAACTTGGCGGTTTCCATTGCGTTTGTATCTGTGCATGATAATGGCGCGGTCGCGTTCAGCTGATGACTGCAGACCGCTTTGATGGACGCAACGAGGTTCTTTATTTAGCCACGGTCAATATGTCCCAGGCTATCATCCGTTCTAAATTTCCCTCAGTCGCCTCGGCTTCGGAAGTATCCGGCTTTATTAACATTCTGCCTTCGGTAGTATCGATCGCGTGCAGTCCTCTGTGTTCCTCGGAGAACACATTGCGGTCTTCTTTCCTAATTG